TATGGTGAGTACAGAAAAATTGTAGATAGAACAAATAGGACAGAGATACAAACACAAAGAGATGCTGGGACAAGACATTATAAATATTACATATTAAATAGGATAGAGAGACAGAGATGCTTTCATAGAATTGCTCCACTGGAATATCAGCCTCCGATCATCAACCAAAGACTGAATTGACTGTTCCGATCCAGTGCCCGATGGCCCAAATCAGTCTTCATTTTACAGTATTTTACACTTGCACGTAAAGCAAGACGGTGACTAATATTTAACATTCTGATTTTGCCATCACATCCTATTTTCACAGATATTGCACTTATGGCTCACCAGTTTGTCAAACTAATTAAAGTTTGACAAAGTTATGGGCTAGTAAGTGGGTTACCTAAATGTTACATAACTGGTAGCATTGAAAGAGTATTATTTATGTAAAATAGAAAATGAAAAGAGGATGACATGAGGTTAGTGAATAAGAGTTTCTGGTCCTGCTTGGCATGAAATGTGCAGCTAAACTAAATGGAAAATTTTATATTGGTTAAATGTTTTGGTCCAATATTTTATTTTTTACACAAAATAGCATGTTAAATATTTTGCTTATGTTTTACAAAAAAAGCCAGGACATATGACTGCTGCCTGCTGATCTGAGAAATTCAGTTCTCCATTTTTGCTTGCAGGATTAAAGGGAAAGTAAGTATAGTGTACAAATTCTGTACACTGTTGTGTTTGCATGAGGTTTATGGATAGAAAGGTCAAATATGTTACTGACTTTGTTCTTTATTTTAAGCAAACTGGAGAGTACGCCACCGATGACGAGGAGACGGGGCCAACCGAGGCAGGTGGGGAGAAGAGCATTGAGGTATTTGACTTGCCAGAGACCGAGGACATCTTGTCTCCCTCTGAGTTAGATGCCACCAAACTCTACCAGAAGTTCAGAGAGGTAAATGTAGAGAGTTTCACCTCAATCCCTACTCCTAAATACCCCAATGTGAAGATTACATGACTGATGGGAGCCCTCCACAATTTCTCTGTCTGACTTGCCGATATGCCCACATAGCCACTAGAATAACTAAGCCCTAAGAATCTCTTCACACAGTTATCCTATGAGCCTACAAACCCATCCTGTTAAACTTTTGCTATCATCACTAACAATGAACTCACCTGAAAAATGGGAGCTATAAAATGGAAAATGAATTAAATGACCGTTAACTAGTTAATGCATTTTAGGCTGCTGAGAAGCTGATAATATTGACTGAGCACTCCAACATCCTTTATGGAGCCGTAACGCTTCAGCCTTTCTGTGGACTGCCTGAATAGCTATATGACACATTTAACAAATGGTTTCTGCTGCACTGCAGGTGCCATAGAGGATATCGAGTGGAGCCCTGGTCTCGGGAGTTTCACCTTTGTTCTGTATTCACGTTTTTTCTTGAATGCTCTATCCCCATAGTGCTGTAGCTTTACATACCCAAGGAGAAGAGAAGCCAGGCAACCGGCAAATAAACCTTGATAAAAGACATTTTAAAAATGCGATGATAAAATACTGTAATTTGAAATTGTACAGAAGTCAAGATTTTAAAAATAGTTTTCAGCAAATTAAACTCTGTTAAACCTTTTGTAATGTCCTTCAAATGCACACGTGAGCCATTCCTTCACCTTAACCTACTGGACCCACCAAGGTCCTACTGCATGACTGAAACTTACAGAATGTAAACTGTAATCAAAATGTCAAGATAAGCAAAACCAAGCACCACTATGTGTAGTGTAAAAATGAAACTGCACACCAGCATGAAAATATCTTACCAAAGATGACGATGCAATGCAGGGAGCATCATGAATTGGTGCTGCTTTGCTGCCTCTGGGACTGGACGGCTGCTGTCACTGAGCAGAAAGTGAATTGCTAAGTTCATCTAACTACAAATCTTGGAGGATAAATCCACGGTGGCTGCCCACCAGCAGATACTCAGTAGAGGTTAGGTGATGTCACAGGATAATGACTAAGTGCTGAAGTAAAGCTACAGAATGACTCAAAGAAAATCCATCCTGTGGAGTTGGCTAGTCAGGGCCCAGACCTATTGTGGAATGAGCTCAGAGAGACCAGTCATCCTAAGTATTTGGCCAAGCTGAAGCAGTTCTGTGAGGAAGAGTCTTCCAGAATTGCTCCTAAACATTGTGCGGGTCTAATCCACACCTCCCGGAGGAGCTTGTTTCAGGTTATTGCTGCCAAAGGCGGTTCATCCATTTATCAAATCCAGGGGTTCTCTCTTCTTTTTCCACAGCACTGTAACTGTATGATGGGTGTTTTTAAAGACTATAAATGTGTGTTATTAGCTTAAACACATTGTGTTTGTCTATTCTTGTGACCTAGATGAAGATGAGGTCACATTTTATGGTTAATTAATAGAGAAAACGGGATAATTCCAAAAGGATTTTCTTGCCTCAGTAGCTTTATTTGTGCCTCACAAGAGTTCTGGTTTGCTCCCGTTTCTGCATCTCTTGTTCCTTTTACAGTTCTAATTCTCTCTCTCCGCTCTGTCTGCCTCTAAATGACTTATTTCAACTTCCATCCATAACTTCTTTCTGGCTGTCTCTTTTCAACTCCAGCTCTCTATCCATCAAACACATTCCACTTCAGATAATATCAAGCCTTTTTTGTTCCCTAGTTGTTGGATTACTTTAGACATCTCACTGGAAAAAAGTGAACATTTCTTGCTGTAAAAATGAACTTTTATGAATTTTTAGATTTAATATGATCTTAAATGACTACTGAGCTAGCATTTATCTGTCCATATTTCTTGCCTTTGCTTGCCTCTTCTTTGAGAGTGTACTAGAGCTGGTGACATCGGAGGACGGGGTTGGTCCGTCGAAGACAGAGAGCCTGCACAGCCATGCGTTTGATTAGCTGACCGCCTTCTCTCTCCTCTCCTATCTTTTCTCATCTCCACCTCTTCTCCCTACAGCTCCAGATCAAACACACCGTGACCGAGGCCGAGATCCAGAAGCTTAAAAATAAGGTAAGAGATTAAAACTGTCAGGGCTTGGGCTAGTTATGGGTGCAAATGGCAGAGGTTTGTCTGAGTTCAAACTAATTGTAAAAGGATGTGGGACTAATGTCAGGAAAACGGGGTAGGCTTTCATGCTTGGTGAGAAATTTTTAGGAAAAGGTAGGGTGGGACATTATTTCTGCTCAGAAATGTGTCTGCAAATCTGAAAATCTGAAATTATTGCCTTGCCAGTTATACAAAGACAAAATGACTGCAAGTGCATGTATATTTATTATTGTCTTTATATCCTTTTTAGTGCTCAGTGTTGTAAATGTCTAGTGGGAAGTAGATGGTGAAAACACTATGTAGTGCAGTCTGAAATCTCTGCATGCGTGTGTGTGTGTATTGTGGAAAAAAATACAGATTTGTCATATTATTTATGTGGTCTATCAAATATTAATGGCCTGATTAATTGATTCCAAAATTAATGTGTTGTGAGTCAATATAATTAAATTAAGAGGTGCCTAAAAGCTTTTCAGGAGTAATGAGAGGTATACTTTCAAAGGGAAATAAATAAATGCATTTATGGTCTGAATACAGACTTCAGTTGCAGAAATACTTCTACTAATGCATTGGCATGAGGGGGAAACTATATAAGGTTTAAAGCTTTTATTTCAAACACTGTAATCCAGTTAGCATCCGTGGAGAGGGAGAAGCAGCACTGGGAGAAGGAGAAGAGCCAGCTGAAGGCCAGCATCGAGGAGAACAAGGAGAGGATGCTGAAACTGGAGAGTTATTGGATTGAGGCACAAACCCTCTGCCACACTGTCAATGAGCACTTGAAAGAAGCCCAGGCTCAGTACCAGGCTCTGGAAAAGAAGTACAACAAAGCCAAGAAACTCATCAAGGACTTCCAACAGAAGTGAGTGAACTGCTGGTTAAAATGAAAATATCGTAGTCTGTGGTCAGAGGAATTCATTTTGACTATAACCTTGAAGATGGTGAAAGATATCTTAAGAAATCCCAGTTAGGTTAGATGTAACTTTGTTTATACATTTATTTTGCTGATTCAGTTTCATGTGTATGTCTGCTGTACATGTAACATATCACAAGAGGTGAGACTAGAAGTTACTAAATCCTACAATGTTCACCATCTTAGTTTAACCAATGAGCATGCTAATGTTTGCTTATTAGGAAGAATGAGATTTAAGTTTTTTCCAGAAGCTAAAGTACTGAACAACTGAAAAGTGATCATCATCATTACTCCAAATTATCTTTAGGGGGACATTACTGTGTGCACCATATTCTCTGGCAATGCATCATTTTTGACAAAACTTGAATTCAGAAATCACAGAAATCAACTTGTATTCAGCCTCGTGGTGGCAGCAGAGGGACAACTCAGGAGACCACCAAAGTCGGGAACAAGTGGCCACCACTGCCATACCTAGAGCCATGTTACTATCGTGGCTAAAACATGAGATGATCCCAGTTACAAGTGTTGCAGTCAGTGTGTTGTTTGGAGCCTTTTAACTTCAATGTTCCTGTGTCAGATTTGTCTGAATTTCTCGCTCACACAGCTGTTTGATTCTACCATTGGGTGGCACTATCATGTTTCAAATACTGTAGGTACTGCAGTGGCTTTAATCTAAAAGACGAACTCAGGTCAGAACAAAACTAAATTTTGCTCAGTTTTGTCTTGTCAGCTCCATAAAGTTCAGCGTCTTTCAGTTGCCATAGTTGAACATAGCATAATTCAGTCAGGAATGTCTCCTTGACTTGCTGAGAGAGGGACTCAAAAGCTTGTAATAAAATATAATTTAGATGATTAGATGATTATTGTAACTCCTACAGTTGAACTATTTATTAAATGAGGTTATTGCTTCAAGCATACCATTAAACATATACTTTAAATAAATGATTTTAGATTAATTCTTTCATTATTCTTTTACAGCCGCCCTCACTTGCCTCAGTGAACAGAAAAAAAGAACATCAACTGCAATTTCCCTCTGAGATACACAAGGACTCTTTTTATAGTCTGTTTCAACAGCTGAGTTTCCATTATTACGCAGCATCTCTCTCCTGCTTTTTGGAGCATTGAACCAGAGGTGGAATGTGATGTACATTTACTTAAGAACAGTACTTAAGAACAATCTTGAGGTTTCTGTACTTTACTTGAGCAGTTTCATTTTCTGCTACTTCATATTTCAACTTCACTACATTTTAGAGACAAATATTGCACTTTTTTACTACACTACACTGATAAATAAAACAAAAGACAGTATAATCATAAGACTTTAACATTAGTTAGTTAATGTTAACTCCACCTTTACCAACTGAAACATTAAAGTGATGAACACAATCATGCACCTATAACTATAATCCAGTAATAGAAGATACATAAATATGAAATTTGCCATTCTGCATAATGAGTACTTTTATTTTGGTACTTTAAGTATATTTTGATCAATACTTTTGTACTTAAGTAATGTTTTGAATGCAGGAATTTTACTGTAACAGAGAATGTTTATATTATGGTATTGCTACTTTTACTTAAGTTAACAATCTGAATAGTTCTTCCCCTACTACACGGAGCTCTGTGGCCAGTCCCATCACAGCCTCTCCTGCTCAGCTCCAGTCTGACTGCCTCTAATTGGATCTGGCCCTGCAGGCCAAATGGAAGCTACTGTAACTAATGAAACATGCTGATCTTCAGCTGAGAGCTGAGCTGCAGAGGAGAGACAACAGGCTCCCAAACCAAGGGCCAAGCAAGTGTGAGGAAGTGGCTGCATTTAGTATTCTTAGTGATGTATGTGTGTTTTTCATGTGTGTTTTTAGGTGGTGTGTGTGTTGTGTGTTCGTGTTCACTATGGACAGCAGCGAAATGAGTCACACTGACCTCCTAAAACAGCCTCGGCTCTCTTATCTCCGCAGCTGAGCAAGATGCAGGCGACACACACACAAATTCCTGTATTAATGGCACATTACCACACCCACCCCTTTCCCCTTTCTTTTCCCTCCAGAGAGGTAGAGTTCATCCAGAAGGAGGATGCAGAGAGGAGACGGCTGGAGGAGGCAGAGAAAGCTCACTTGGCTGAGATCCAGGGACTGCAAGTCAGGGTAAACCAAATATTTTATTGTGTCCTTTTCTCATGTGTCTCATGATTGTATGCATCTGCAAAATGCAGCCAATTGCCTTCCAAATAACAGAGAGATCCAAGATGTAAAAATAGATGGATGAAACTGATGGTGCTTGGTCACATGAGAAACTTGAAAAATTAAATCTAAATGCAGTCATCTCTGTGATCAAGAAGAATAGCAGTTGCACCTCATCACTGCTCTTTGGCCTCTAGAAGGCTCTGTGCTCATATCAAAGAGGTTTTTTCCTCCCTGGACAGTGACAGTGGATGGACTTTATGTCCAGGGGTCTGTAGTCCGTTCTTTTGTCAAACTGTTTTGATTTTCTGCTTTCCTAGTCTTAAACTGTGACAGTTATGTTTGTTTTTTTTTCCTGCCATGCCTCACAATTGAACAGGCTGTCAACCCGACTGCCACTGCTTTATTATTCTGCACGCTTGAACACTCGTTCGCCTACTGCACTACATTGTAAAGTGTGGCAGAGGCAGGAGTGGTTGAAAGACAGTATCAAGGCACCAGCAAGACAGACACTGTAATTATGCTTTAACTGTGCTGGCATACTAGTAGGCTATATAAATGTACTGTAGATCCAATTAAATAATGTGTGCTTTTTATATTCACTTGGCCAACCTTTTTAAATTGACTGAAAAGATGAATTATCTGCGGCTCATCATGTTGACTGTTTATTTTAGTGCTTTAAACGGCTGTTTTGTCAGGTAAATGTCTACACCTAATTAACAATGATGGGTTCCTCTCCCTCTATAGATTGCAGCATTAGAGTCTGAGCTAATGCAGCTGATGAAACAGAATGGCATCCAGGTCAACAACAACAACAGCAACAGTGCTGAGCGGCTCAGTGCTCGGCAGCACAGTCCAAACAGGGCTGCAGCTTCAGCACAAGCCAGAGGTCTGTTTTTGAGGGAATGGGTCTCTGTAGGATCATGAGTGTTGTTATTTCTAAAGCATTTTTCATTTTGAGAGATACAGTTATTCACTTCCTGAGAGTTAGATGAGAGGACTAATACTGCTCTCATGCCTGTCTGTCCAGTATAAATCTGGAGCCAGCAGCCACCATAGCTCAGCATAAAGATTGGCTCTGTCCAGAGGTAACAAAATCCGCCTACACCTCTAAACACGTATAATGTCACTAATTAACATCTTGTTTGTTTAATGCATACAATAACAAAGTCTATAAACTAATTTTGGTTTTACATGGGATTATTTGCAAAACTGTTCAACTTCCTGGAGTCTCCACCTGCCATTTTACACTTTATTTTTTGATTAAACAAACATATTACCTGCTGTTTCCCCATTTTCAGCCTTTGTCCAAAGCTTCGGAACTTCATTTGAAGCAGACAGACATGAGAGTGGTGTCAATTATTCCACCTGTCTCTCACCAAGAAAGTGAATAAACTTATTTCCCAAAATGTCAAACTTTTAATTAATCAACACAGTGACAAATAGTATGAAATAATTTCAGGCCTGCCTTTCTTCTTATTTAAGCTTTTAGTTTTCCTACTGCATTGATTGTTTCAATGAGCTGTTAACTAAGTACCTAGGAAGGATGTGTGTCCTTAAGTCAACCCACCCTGCATCTCAGCCACATTGTCATAACATTTTTCTTGAGCCCTTGCATTATACCGAGTCTGCCTGCCCTATGAAGGACATGGGTGTAATTGGACTGTCTTGCTCTGCACTGTAAACTCTTTAGCACATGCACACACAGACGCACTACAATTCAGACACACATTCCCACGTTTCTTAAGTACATGACAAATCATTCCTCTCTCCTGCTGACATACACACTTTCACCTGAGAAAGTGGGTCCACTTTGGGTCTCCACAATCAAAAACAAAAACAGCTGCAACATATCTGCTGGCTTTGCTTCGGCAGCTGCCTCTGTCAGGGCACAGTGTGCACAGAGAAGTGCCATATCTGATACTGCACAGTGCAGGCGGGATAACAGTGATTGGATCCACACTGAGCCAAATGACGCAGCCCATTATGTAGTATTAAAAAGAGGGGTTTGAAGGACAGGATACAAAGGAGGCAGAGTATGTGGGAAGAGAGACAGAATCTGCTGAAATGATCTTTTTCAAAATGAAATGATTCAGTCTTCATTAATTAAAAGGGTTACTTTTGGGGGAAACCTTATATTTGAATTGATGTTTTTACCAGACAAAACATATTTAATGGGGCTCAAGCCAAAGTGCCTTAAAATAAAGACTGAAACAAAAGAAAATATATTCACATTACTGATGGACTAATGTGTGTCAGTTTATCTATTTATTTATTTATTTATTTAACTGTGTCAGGTTATGTCACAGTTGTTTTCCTCGTCTTTCTATGCATGTGTGTTTCAGACCTGATGGGGGCCTCTTCCTCTTCACCCAGTAAAAAGAAGGGCTACAGAGGAGTGGCCCGAGACAGCATCAGCTCTACAGAGGGAGAGGTTGGCATTAAAACACACACACAACTGCACCATCTTCTTTCTTCAGTGAAGCTTAAAATACTCTTTTGGAACAGAAAATTTCATCAACTTCTGTTGCAATTTCAAGCAGGTGTGAGTTTAAATCCAAGAAACAACATTTCTTAAATTTAATGCATCTTTAATTTCCCCCCGGGTGTCTAGTTAGTGGATGTCTGTCCAGCAGCCTGCTTGTGTGTCCCCTGTCTATTTCACTTTATTACTTTGACAGATTAATTACTGGATGTTGCTCTGCAGCATTAACTGAGTCTGTGGCGCTACCACAAGTTACCATCTCTCCCATTGTGATAATAATAGCCACAGTCTTTTGGGGGCTGAAAGGCTGTAGTCTGACTAATGCTGTCACTTAATTCAGCTAAAGCATGAGTTCAAATTGGATGAACAACTTGAGAACTGGATTAGAGTTGGCAGGGACACAAAAACCATGAGTGTAAGGCTTTCAGAGGTAACGGTGAAAGCATGTCAAGTGACTTCTCTGTTTAGTTCGCAGTACTGTCTGTTCAGATCAATTTTATTCTTCACTTTTTCCTCTGAGCTACTTCTTTTTGCTCTTTTACTTTTTCATTCATTGTCATCCATCACAGTTTTCTTCCTTTGACATTTTTCTCCGTGCTCACTTTCCACATCTGGTGGCCCCTTATGTTTGGGTCTGGCTCGGGTTCTGACACATAGGTCAAATTTTAGGCTAGATAGCTGGAGCATTCAAATGTCTGCTTCATTAAATGTTAAGGGGAAAAACACAATACAGACTCAACTGATTAAGGCTTGGGTCAGGTTCGGGTGCCACACTCTTGGGCATGGGTCAGGTTCGGACAGAAATATGCAGCCTGACCCATGTTTCTCCTCCCCCTCTTCCACTGATTTCATCTAACTTTCTTTTTTTTTGTCTGTTTATGTCTGTCTTCAGGTCTCAGAGGAACAAGGCAGTCCAGCCCACAGTCGCTTCGATTTGAGTCATAGTATGGCCCCTGGCAGTGCAGAGGGCTCCCACAGAAAATCACTGCAACTGCTGTCCACCACAGGAACTCTTCAGGATGGTGGGTACATCTGTGCCTTCATAATGAAGGATGAAATGTCACCAAACACATCTGTAATTATACCTACTAATAGAATTCCTGTACTGCAATGGTCCTGTTTCCACATTTCTCTTATTACCTTGCAATGTTTTTACTATTTGCTTAGGCCCATTCATTGAAGTAGGAGTTTGCTCAGTGTGGGGTGTTTGTGATTACAGGTTCTCAGTCTCCTGTGATGCTGGGCCCTTCTCGCAGTCTGGAGGAGCACATACAAGCTCTGGACCCTGGGTAAGATAAACGGTGAAACACCATATAATCTTTTTGAAGGCATCAATGTGTTGTTCATTGTTGAGAGAGCAGTATAAAGAAGTTGGGGAATGATCATCAGGTTCAGGTATTTGTCTTTTTTATGACTAAATATAACTTTCTTCATTTAATGTGTATTATTTATAAATACATTTGTGTGTTTATTTTTAGATATTTATTGTGAAACTAAATGCAGATAAAATTGTGGAGCCATGTAGCCTATGGCTAATTTTAAGAGACTGGTGGTTTAGTGTAGCACCAGTGATGGGAAAGTAGAACTGACAGGGATGGTTGTTATATCTACATGAAACAGTAAGTGCATGAATACTAAAACATTTATCCTAAATGTAATTAGCAATGTTCAGTGTACTTTTTAGTATCGCATTACAATCAAGCGATCAGTTGTGCTTTCTCACTCTGTCTTTTCATTCAGATCCTCCCTCAGGAAAACCCAAGTGAAGGATAAAGATCCCAGAGCCTCACCTGTAAATGGGTAAATAATCATTGAGTTGCAGAGCTGTTTTCCTTTTGCCTGTCTGGCTCCATCTAATGAACATTAAACTGCAGAACAATGTTATACAACAGTTGTTGTAGCTTTTCTTAATAATTGCTCATAGAGGAACTGTTTATGAAAGTGTGGTGCACTGGTGCAGTAATTATCACTACTGACCTGTATTTAATTTTTCTCTTGTTCCACTTCTGTCTTTCTCTGTCTCTCAGCTCCACAGAGCCTTCAGCAGAGGACAGTCCAGACAAACTCAGGACCAAGGTATATGAGGTTTGGCAACTGGAAGATTGAGAAAATAATGATTCACGTTACAGATACAGTACTTTATAAAAATACAGACAGTGAGGAAATCAAGCAAAGCAAAGTGTCTGCTTTGCCCTCTGTAATGCAGTTATACAGGTCCAGTCAGAGCAGGCTAATATACAGTGGCAAGAGAAGGTATGTGCACCTTTTGGAATTTCATGGTTTTCTGCATTAATTTGTCATAAAATGTGATATGATCTTCATCTAAGTCAAGAGTACTGATGAAAATAATGTGCCTAATATAACAACAACAACAAAAAATCTGAACTTTCATGTCTTTATTGAGAACAACCATAAAAACCTCATAGTAGTAGTGGAAAAAGTATGTGAACCCTTGAGTTAATGACCTTAAAAAAGCTAATTGGAGTCAGGTGTTGGCATATCTGGAGTGTTGTTAAGAAAATGAGTTTGGAGGCGTGGACTAGAGCTACTTTGACTGATAAAGACCACTCAAACCATTTGAGTTTCCTCCACACAAGAAGAATATGCTTATGCCTCGCCAAAAAGAGCTTTCAGAAGATCTACAATGAAGAATTGTTGATTTACATAAAGCTGGAAAGGGTTGTAAAGTGATTTCAAAGACTTTAAAATTTCACCAGTCTACTGTACAGTTAGGCAAACGATCTACAAATGGAGATACTTTGGAACTGTGGTTACTCTACCAAGAAGTGGGCACCCAGTCAAAATAACCCCAAGAGCACAACGAAGACTCATCACTGAGTTAAAGAAACAACCTCGTGTGACAGCCAAAGATTTGAAGGCATCATTGGAACTAAATAACATCTGTGTTCATGAGTCTACAATACGTAACGCATTGAACAAGCAGGGTGTCTATGGCAGGAGAAGCCGCTGCTTACTAAAAAGAACATTGCTGCACACCTGAAGTTTGTGAAAGAGCATGTATGAAAATAGTTTCTAATCCTGTGTAGTATGAGATATAGTTGTCACAGGATTAAAGACAAGATTATTTTTGATCCTGCCCAAGTTCAGTCCTTTTTCTAATGCAAGAATAAGTGCACATCAAAAGAGAAGTCAGTGCAGAATTTACAGTATTGTTCAAAATAATAGCAGTACAATGTGACTAACCAGAATAATCCAGGTTTTTAGTATATTTTTTATTGCTACATGGCAAACAAGTTACCAGTAGGTGCAGTAGATTCTCAGAAAGCAAACAAGACCCAGCATTCATGATATGCACGCTCTTAAGGCTGTGCAATTGGGCAATTAGTTGAAAGGGGTATTTGAACAATACTGTATGTGCATTAGCAGTTATGTGGAGCCCTTTAAATAAGGATTCAGTCCAGGTAGCTGAAAGTCTGAACCTGTAAGATTAGTATTGCTTTTACCCCAGATAGTACATTGACCCAAAAAACCTTTTCCAAGAAATACTATATAACTAAATGTAAGACAGTGCTTAAAGTTCAAAATGTTATGAATGAATATATCTTTGACGCCACTGACATGATGTGTAGTTCTATTAGTTGCTTCCTTGTATGATTTTAGGGGACCAAGAGAATTCTCTATAACCAGCTGAACAAGAAGAAGTACAAACACTTGCTCCACAGAAAAGGAATTCCCCTGTTTACAAGTTGTCTTGTTTTATCTGATGAAGACCCACAGCCAAATTGTCCTAAAGAGCAATTTTGCACCCAATTTATCCTCATGATGCACTTGTGTTTCTTGTCGGCTCCTTGTCTCTTGACTCTTAATGCCCTGAATGTCCACACACTCAGGACACACACACACACATTTGGAGCTGGATAGCATCTAGCCACATCATTTCTAAGCACAAGTCACAATAACAGTTTGTGCTGTAATGAAACATCTCAAAGATGAGGGATGTGCCCTGCCTTTCTGTAGTCTATCAAAAAGGTTCAATATATTAGTCTGATGTGCTTTTGATTGACTTTCAAATATTAGGATGAAGCACATCAGTCATTCTGGTACATGCTCAGAGGAAAAGCCCTTAGTGATTGATTCATTTTCTATTTAAGGAATTGTTTTAATAACACGTTTGATTAAATTTACAATATCAATATACTAATGCAACATCATGTTGCCTTGAACCAGTAACACTGCAGAGAACCATGAATAAGAGAGAGGCACTCCACCTAATCAACTAAATTCAGCCTCAGAGCCAGTTGGCTCTCACCGTGAGTCCTTATAAGTATGTTGTTGATTTCTCAGGGAGCCACTCTGAATGATGATCTGAGTGCCAGCAGCAGCAGCTCAGTGGAGATCAGCGGTTTGCTGAGTGAGGCCACGATGTCGGGACGCTCACACACCCTGATGCTCTCCTCAGATGAGGTATTGTACACTCAGTCTTGCAAGCAGTTTTTAATGGAAGTTCAGTAACTGGCTGGGTGATTATAGTTTGTAAGATGAAATGTTGAACCACATTAAAAGGCTAAATACAAACTTATAAGGTAAATATTTAAAATAATAAAATTTGTCTTGGTGATGTCTTGCAAAATAGTTAAAAATATGCAGCTGAAAAAAGGAAATATGAAGTACTACAACAGAATAACAATAAATCTAAAATACAAATTAGAAGTTTGTATTTTTACAAATCTATGCTAAATACATTTCATATGTGCAGAACAGAAATAGTGCAAAGTGCACAACGGGTTGTGTTAATGTAACAATACCAGGCGAGTCCATCTAATGACCATGGGGGGATGGGATGAAAGTCCTGAGTCTTGTCTATGAGGGCAGCTGCCATCAGAGAGAAACTGTTCCCGTGCCAGGCAGTTTTGGTCTTTTTGCTTTTTCAAAAAGTGTTTGTGTCCGGGGTGGCAGGGGCTGACCACAGTCTTTACCGCTTGCTTCAAGGTCTTAGAGTCATGCAGGTCCTGGTGTGATTGCATATTGCAGCCAGTCATGCTCTCAGCAGTGTGAATGATACGCTGCAGTCTGCTCTGTTCCTTAACAGTGGAGGCAGCGTACCAGATGGTGATGGAACAGGTCAGGACAAGCTCAATGATGGCGGTGTAGAAGTGCACAAGGACCAACATTTAAACACCTTGTCAGTTCAAAAGTGGCCAAAATGCTCTGAACCCGGGTTCATACAGTGTAAAATGACAGGACATCTAAAATGTTTAAATCCACCTTTTTGATTCAAAACTTGGTTTGTTTTAGATTTAGAACATAATGTACTTTATAAGCATGTGCCATTTAGGCTGTTTAAAATGTACATGTAAATGTGAGCAGTAGTTAAAAATCAAAAGTCAAATTCACTCCCATCATGCACCGTTTTATTGGCTCTTTGTGTCAGTGACCCCATTTATGGATATTTCTGACAGAAAAGAACATTAGTCCTACAGGGAGTAGTTTCTTCTCATATTCTTCTTGCAGAAAACAACAAGCTAAAGTCAGTGGACCACTGCATCCAAAGTTGTTTTAAACTACTTTAGTGGAAGCAATTTTGTTTCTGCTCTGTTAACAACCCAGTCATATTCTGTTGTTTTCTATGCCACCACATTCAGAGTCTGGATATGATAGACGATGAGGTGAGACTAAAGCTTACAGCCCACAGAGGGCATGTTTTACTGCATGTCTGTCTTTGTGTGACTGTTTAGTAAAGACCATTTCTCTGTTTCATTCCCAAATGATTCATAGTAACGCAGGATTTTTGTACATGTACCTCATATCAGTGTGTATTGCTACAGAATATTATATATTGAACGTAGTTGTCACTGTCCACATTTTTATGTTGATGTCAGTTTCATCTTAACTCATTATTCAACCAGTGTTCTGCATATGTCCAGATCCTAGACGAGGGACGGTTTTTGAAGCCGTATCAATGGCAGAACCGCAGCATTACAGAGTGGACCTCCCAGCAAGTGGCACACTGGCTCATGGGCCTCAACTTAGAGCACCATGTCCTAGAATTCACTGCCAAAAACATAGATGGAGAACAGCTGCTACAGCTAGATAGCACTGAGCTCAAGGTACTGGAGGTTAAAACTTTGTTTTTTATATACTATACAAGTAATACATATAGATAAGTTAGAGCCTGCATAAACACAAAATTAGTATTGCCATACATCTTGATCACTAAGTATCAAGTAATTTCAGTAGAATCAGAGATTAAGAAACAGTGGGGATTTAGAGGAGTTCATATATCGTGTTTATGTAAATTAATGTATAAATATTGGCACATATACAGTCAGGGAAAAAATTATTTGAACCCCAGCTGATTTTGTAAGTTTGCCCACTAACAAAGAAATGATCAGTCTACAATGTCAATGGTAGGTTTATGTGACCAGTGAGAGACACAACAATAACAAAAAAATCCAGAAAAATGCATTACAAAAAAAGTTATAAAGTAATTTGCATTTTCATGAATGAAATAAGTATATGATCCCTTTGCAAAACGTGCTTTAGTACTTGGTGGCAAAACCTTTGTTGGCAATCACAGAGGTCAGAAGTTTCTTGTAGTTGCCTACAAGGTTTGCACACATCTCGGGGGATTTTGACCCACTCCTCTTTGCAGATCCTCTCCAAGT